GGCCTCCCAAAGTGCTGGGATTACAGGCTTGAGCCACCACACCCGGCTTGCTTTGCTTTTTATACACTGAGATTTGTGTCACAGATCATATCCAAACTATGGTGCAGTAAAATAAAAGCAGAGATCCAGCGGTAACAGGAGGCCTATGGTGAAGAGCATCTGAGAGCGCCCTGTAACTGCGGAACACTCAGTGTGGTTGTAGAGCAGAAAAATCTGCTTTGGTCCCAAAACTCATCCCAACATAGAGTTTGTGCCAGATCTCCTAAAGGGAGCTTATGCAAAACACTCTGGGAAGTAATGCAACCTCTGCCAGAAGGCCTTACAGGGCAGAGATCACAGGAACACCACAGGCTCTGCCTATGTTCTCAGAATATGGAGCAATTCCTATTGCTCTGTGTCCATGATGCTCGGGAGATAAAAGTCCCTTGATGCATGGTGTGTGGTCAGACCTTATGGTGCCTTATACACTGCACCTCTCTTGCCTAAACACCTGGATAGACAATGGGTTGTAAAACCTCACTGTCCTTAGTTAGCATTTCTTAGGAGAGCCACCTTTGCTATTGAATGCTGCAGACACATGCTCTTCCTCGGGCTATCTTCCTCAACTGCCCCTCCCCACAGCCTTCAAGATGAAGCCCAGAGCTCAGTGCCAGTGATCCCCCAGAGTGTACTTGACCCCTGGACCCATGCAGTAAAATTCTATTCTTGTGTCTTTATTTCCTTTCTCACTCCTTCAGGGTTGGGCTGGTTCCCAACACAAACAATCTATAAATCCAAACACAATTCTAAAACAAATCTTAATATCTGATGTTGAAAACTTTATAAGACAATCCTATAATTGATGTGCAAGAGAAAAGGGCCAAGGATATGTAAAGATATCTTTAAAGAACAAAATTGTATTTTTAAAGACAAATCCTACCAGATAGCAACAATGTTATTTGCTAAAATAATAGTTACCTGTAATCTCAGCATTCTTTGAAGCTGAGGCAGGAGGATCACTTGAGGCCAAGAATTCAAGACCAGCCGGGGCAACACAGTCAGACCCAGTCTCTACAAATAATGATAATAATAACATTAATAATATATAAAGTATGGCCACAATTTGAGACCATCCTGGGCAACACAGTCAGACCCAGTGTCTACAAATAATAATAATATTAATACTATTAATAACTTACAAAGTATGGCCAGAATTCGAGACTAGCCTGGGCAACACAGACCCGGTCTGTACATGGCTGGGCCCAGTGGCTCACGCCTGTAATCCCAGCACGTTGGGAGTCCGAGGCAGGCAGATTACCTGAGATCAGGAGTTCGAGACCAGGCTGGCCAACTTGGTAAAATTGTCTCTACTAAAACTACAGAAAATTAGCTGGGCATGGTGGTAGGCGCCTGTAATCTCAGCTACTTGGAAGGCAGAGGCAGGAGAATTGCTTGAACCTGGGACGCAGAGGTTGCAGTGAGTCAAGATCACACCACTGCACTGCAGCCTGGGCAACAGAGCAAGACTTGGTAACAAAAAAAAAAGATCCCTCCCTTCAGAACCCCTTCCCTTGCGGGGGAAAAAAAAAGACAAGTCCTACCAGGTAGCAGGCATATTATTTGCTATAGTAATAAATACCTTTAATCTCAACATTCTGGGAAACCAGGGCAGGAAGATCACTTGAGGCCAAGAGTTCAAGACCATCCTGGGCAACACAGTGAGACACCATTTCTACAAAAGAAGAAGAATGTCTAAAGTAACAATCACAGCACGCTAAAGACCAGCCTGGCCAAAATAGTGAAACTCCGTCTCTTCGAAAACTACAAAAAAAATTAGCTTGGTGTGGTGGCAGTCAACTGTAATCGTAGCTACTCAGGAGGCTGAGGCAGGAGAATTGCTTGAACCTGGGAGGCAGAGGTTGCAGTGAGCCGAGATCGCACTATTGCACTCTAGCCTGGGCAACAGAGTGAGACTCCATCTCCCAAAAAAAAAAAAAAGACGCAGGGATGGGCAAGTGACCAATGGAACAGAAAACAGGGCCTAAAAATAACCCATGCACACTTGAAACAATATATGACAGAGATAACATAATCACTGGGGAAAGAATGAACTATTCACCAAATGGCACTATAAAAAAAATTAAATCACTACTTCACATTAATCATAAAATTATACTCTAAGTAATCAAATAACCTAAATATAAAAAGAAAATATTTAAAAATTTTAGAAGAAAATATCTTTCAGATGTCAGGATGAAGAGCTTTTTAAGAAGACACAAAAGAATAAACTATTAAGATGCCACAGAAAAATCAAAGGATGTTCAAAAAATAATAAACCATTAAGAAAAAGGCAAATAAGGCCGGGCAAGGTGGCTCACGCCTCTACTTTGGGAGGCCGAGGCGGGCGGATCACGAGGTCAAGAGATCGAGACCATCCTGTTCAACATGGTGAAACCCCGTCTCTACTAAAAATACAAAAAATCAGCTGGGCATGGTGGCGCGTGCCTGTAATCCCAGCTACTGAGGAGGTTGAGGCAGGAGAATTGCCTGAACCCAGGAGGCGGAGGTTGCGGTGAGCCGAGATCGCGCCATTGCACTCCAGCCTGGGTAACAAGAGTGAGACTCCGTCTCAAAAAAAAAAATAAATAAATAAAAATTAGCCGGGCGTCATGGCACACGCCTGTAGTCCTAGCTACTCGGGAGGCTGAGGCGGAAGAATCGCTTGAATCCGGGAGGCAGAGGTTGCAGTGAGCTGAGATTGCGCCGCTGGGCTCCAGCCTGGACGACAGAGCAAGACCCGGTCTCAAACAAAAAAGAAAAAGAAAAAGAAAAATCGTGCAACATAGAAAGAGAAAAAATTATGCATCACAACTTGCCATAACAAACTAAAAAGACGAGCCACAAATAGAAGACATAGTATCTGAAACTAATACAACAAAGTAGATGAAACATAAATTATGACTAAAAATCAGTAAGAAAAAGCCCAATAATTCAGCAAGGAAAAAAAAAAATCACAGAATAGAAATTCTATTCTAATTACAGAATAGAACTAGGACCCAACACTGTGGCTCAAGCCTGTAATCCCAACACTTTGGGATGCTGAGGTGGGCAGATCATCTGAGGTCGGGTGTTGGAGACCAGCCTGATCAACATGGAAAAACCATGTCTCTACGAAAAATACAAAATTAGCCAGGCATGGTGGCGCATGCCCATAATCCCAGCTACTTGGGAGACTAAGCCAGGAAAATCACATGAATCCGGGAGGCAGAGGTTGTGGTGAGCGAAGATCACACAATTACAGGACACAGTGGCTCACGCTTGTAATCCCAGCACTTTGGGAGACCTAGGCAGGTGAATCACGAGGTCAGGAGTTCAAGGCCAATGGCCAAGACAGTGAAACCCCTGTCTCTACTAAAAATAC